TCTAGTGTGTGTCCAGTTTGCTGGCGTCACAAATTGAACTGAGCTAACACTATATATGTTACATATAGTGATCAATGGGCAGCGGTCACAGATCGTTTGTCACTATCAGCGCAAATCAAAATAAAGTTGTCCGTGATGCAATTGCAACTTCAATTGATGTCAATTGTTTGGCGGGCACGGCAACATTGACGACATGATCGGTAGATTTGATTAAGTTTATGTTGCTATGAAGCTCTATAGAAATATCATTCTTAAATGTCGATCGGAATATACAAAAAAAAAAAATTAAATATAAAATTAAAAGTATGCTTAAAATATGAACTCTTTCTGATTATAAGACAGCCGGAGATAAGCCCTATAGTAAAATTAAACATTAAAATATTAGAATCTAATATAGTTTTTCAAAACATAAACTTACTTAACATAAACTTAAAACAATATAATATCCAATCCAATAGAAAAATTGTAGACTTCAATTTTTTGTCAAATTTTAAGCCAAATTGTTCCATACTTAAAAATAAAAATGAAAATGAACAGTTTCAGTCCAAATCAGTACCGAAAATATTTAATTCAAATGAATAAATTATGATTTACCATGATTTTGGGTGGAGAATTGTGCACACTTTGAACTTAAACATTAATCTGTTGATCTATTGATCTCATATGCATTTGTTATGCATTTTCCTTTCAGATTTTGGCCACTTGTGCAGTTCTTTTACTTTCAGCTGGCTGTGGCATGCCCATTGGATTTTCAGCCATTTTGCTGCCCCAATTGACGGATACCAATAGCACGGAGATCCCCATAGATGTGGAAACGGGTTCTTGGATAGGTATGTGAATCCTAAGCCATTTTTGGGGATTGCAAACTTTTCACCTATTGAATATTTTTACAGCCAGTGTCCATAGTTTGGCCACCCCATTTGGATCGCTGATGTCAGGACCTTTGGCGGATTATTTGGGTCGCCGTCGCACCTTGATCATATCAGTAATTCCCCTCTTGTTGGGCTGGAGCACTCTGGCGATTGCCAAGAGCATTAAGGTGGTGATCTTTGCCCGATTCCTGTGCGGATTTGCCACCGGAATTCTGGGTGGACCTGGACAGGTGAGTGACTCCCAAATTCATTGGCATTGGCCCAAGGGGTTCGTTCACATGGGGCACTCGCAATACCCGGAACCATAACGTATACGTGATTTGCCGACTGACCCATTAACCGTAATCGACGGAGCCTTGAACTCCCCGCAAATGGCACTCCCACAAATGGGGAACGTGGCAAAAAAAAAGAGCAGTGGTGACAGGTGGACAGGTCGTCAATTGGCCACTTGACGACGCCGTATTCTATTGTCCCGGCTTCTCCGGTCGCTTCCATTGTGTCTACGCTAATAATGCGCCGGCTGTTTATTTACGAGTATCTTATGGATATGTCCGTGACTTATCTTGCGGCCAAAGTGATAACGATAGTCATCGTCGTCATCGCTCCCGGACTTTAAATGGCCAGCGCATCATTTGCATGATGAACATAGCTAAGCAAAAGCTTTCCGCACACACGCAAAGTAGTAGTTCCGGATTCTTGACCTTAGTCTATAATAACGTTGATGCAGCTTATGGGTGTTTTTCGGGGTGGGTGGGCTCTATACGGGTGGCTGGTTGAATGGTTGAATGGATGAATGGATGGGTGGTTGGCTGGATGGGTGGTTGCCTGAACTGGTGGGCGTCGTCGACTTGTTGCGCGTGTTCCCCCGGCGAGTTTCGTTTTCATTAATGGTTCGCTGACTGACGTGATTTACGATTTTATGATTACCATCCAAGAGTTCCCAGAGATTAAGATGTTGATGCTTTTGTGACCCTCAAATAGATCAACTTGTTTTGCTGGCGAAAGTTCTAGCTAAGTTCAGGGGCAAGATATTTAAGGAAATAGTTTCGTTTAACATTACATATGGCTTTATGAACTCTAGAGACTCAGGAATTTAATTAACTTATTAGGAAGGCCTTTAAGCCATGAGTTATTTCAAAGGTTTTTCAACATAAACGTTTATAAATAAAAGTGTTTGGCTGTCTTAAATTAAAATGTTTATGCTCTTGTGGCCCTATATTGAAATTGTTTTTTTTTTTTAAGTTAGCTTTGAGTGATTTTTATAAGAAAGTAATTTCTTTATGACTTTAAATAAAATCAAAATTATAGTCAAATTCTTTAAGTAATTTTATTTAAGTTCTTGTGTTCATCTCGTTTAAATGTTTCTTATAAATGTTAACAATAAATTATTCTTGACATTTTCAAAGTAAAAGTAATTTAATTTAAGTTAATAAGTCATTTTTATTAGAAAGTAATTTTTTTAAGACCTTAAATTAAATCAAAGCTAAAGACAAACCCTTTAAGTAATTTTATTTAAGTTCTTGTGTTCTTCTCCTTTTAATGTTTTTTTAAAAGTTAATAAATAAATTATTCTTGACATTTTTAAAGGTGAAAGTAATTTTATTTCAGTTCTTGTGTTCTTTCCGTTTAAATGTTTTTTATAAATAATTAAATTATTCTTGACCTTTTTCAAGGTCTACATTGCGGAGACGGCGGAACCGAATTTAAGGAGTCTGCTGATCGGTGCTCCATACGTGGCCTACTCTTGCGGAATCCTGCTGGTCTACTCCCTGGGGTCGATGATGTACTGGCGGAGTGTGGCATGGTGCGCCAACATCCTGCCCCTGCTGGCCATGGTGTCCATCTCGTGCATCCCGGAGACGCCAGCCTGGCTGCTCCGCAATGGCTACGAGAAGCGAGCCATGCAGGCACTCACCTTCCTGCGGGGCAGTGAGATCAGTGCCCAGAAGGAGCTGAACGACATGACGCAGCGACTGGCCAAGGAGCGGGTCACCACCCGGACCAATGAGAACATCTTCCAGCTGTGCTGCCAGAGGGTGGCCATTAAGCCGCTCGTTATCGTGATCGTGTTCTCCCTGCTGCAGATGTTCTCCGGCACATTCATCGTGATCTTCTACGCCATCGACATGATCAAGGACTTCGGGGCGGAACTCAATCCCAAACAGGCGGCGATTGGAACGGCTGCTGTCCGTGTGGTATGCTGCATGGTCTTCTGCGTGATCCTGATCTTTGTGCGTCGTCGCAGGATCATGATTGTGTCGGGCATCGGTTCTGGGGTGTTCTGCCTGGCCTTGAGTGTTTATCAGTATGCCAGACACGGTCAGCCGAAAATGTCCTACGACGTGTTGGTAGGCGGCGGTTGCCTCTTGGGCTACATCATCTTCAATACGGCCCTGATGGTCATGCCGGGCATCATGATCGGAGAGCTATTCCCGGCCAGAATCCGGGGTAGGACAGCTGGTGGAGTGTTTGCCTCGATGAACGTGGCGCTCTTCATCTTCGCAAAGTTTTTCCCCGCCTTGCAGGCGTTCCTTAGAATGCGTGGAGTGTTCCTGGTCTTCGGAGTGTCCAGTTTCCTGCTGACTGCCTTCATGTGCATGTTCCAGCCGGAGACGAAGGGCCGTAGTTTGGAGCACATCGAGGACTACTTCAACGGGAACAACTGGCTGTGGTTCCGGCGGGATCGTGGCTATAAGACGGTCAACCTGCAGCCCCTGCAACCGCTCAAGGCCATTCGGGGGACGGACGCATAATCCGGTGGGGTGTTAGCTTTAAATCAGGTCTTAGCTTAGCTAGATTTAGAAATACTCGTAGTTCTAGCCGCAGTGCCTCGTAGTCGTTAGGCTCCCCCGATATTCCAGTGTGTCGTCCAGCTCGGCCACTACGACAGGAAATCTTCAAATGTTAAGTTTGTTAGTTCAAATTGTGATCGCTATGCTTTAAATTGTGTCTAATTGTTAACTAAAATTATGATTATAAATAAAAATCTGATTAAATTATGCGTGGTATTTATATGTTTTTTTTTTAGTTTCATCTTATAAGTAATGTTCTTAACTACGTATTTTTTAACTTATCCAATTCTCGATCAAATACTGGAAGCAGCTTTAAAATGGGAACAGTTACTTGATAGTTATTATAAAAGAAATTTACAGTTATTTGTAAAATCCTTGTAATTTTTTAATTTCTCTGCCGAATGTCGACAACTCTATTTTCACAAACAGCAGCTTTAAACTGGGAACAGTTTGTTGATAACTATAAATTTAGGAATTAACAGGCATCTGTTATATTCTTGCAATTTTTAAATAAGTCTGCCGAATGCTAACAACTTTATTTTCACAGTCACTTTTTTAAAAGTGATTTTAGGCACTTAGCTAAACTATAAAGAAGTTATTTGAATAAAATGAAGGGTATTCATAGTTAAATAAGTAACGGTTATTTGAAGAACAAATACTAAAAACGTTTGAAGCCAAATACTTGGTATGTTTTGTTGCACGTACAACGGTCACTCTAATTGAAGAACCTGCGGCAAATCAACAAAATGAATAGCGTGAGTTGAAATACTTTACATATTTTAGCAATATAAACGAATTATAAATGCCTGCAGGAACTGAAGAGCAAGATTGAGAGTTGCGCCCGCACTGCGGACACCTTTACGCGTCTGTACTACGCCTCCGTGGACAATCGGCGACATGTAAGTTGAAATTCCCCAGAAAACCGGCAATTTCAACAGAAAACGAAATAATACATATGGATGTATATTTGTCCTGCAGCAAATTGGTCGTTTGTACCTGGAAAATGCCACCTTTAGCTGGAATGGAAACGGGGCCACTGGTCGCGAGCTGATCGAGCGCTATTTCCTGGAGCTGCCCACCTCCAGCCACCAGATGAACACTCTGGACGCTCAGCCCATTCTCGATCCGGCTGTGGCCAACCAACTGACCTACCTCATCCTCGCCAGCGGCACCGTCAAGTTTGCCCACCAGTCGATCCGTAACTTTCAGCAGACCTTCATCGTGACCGCCGAGAACGACAAGTGGAAGATTGCCTCCGACTGCTACCGCCTGCAAGAGGTGATGCTTTAGCCAAGCACTCGCACCCGCACTCATTTGTTATACATAAGCATTAAAGTTAAGCTACGTAGCTACGTTCTGTAACCGTAACGAGTTTATTTACATTTCTAAGCACTTATGAATAGACTGACTACTTATTTGTCTGCCTCTGTCTTGGGTTTCTTGCTGGCCGGCTCATCGGCGGGCAGTTTCTCGGAGAAGATGGCCTTCGGCTGCGTCTGCTTGTAGGCAGGAGCTATCCAGTAGGGATTCTCGGCCGCATCCTTGGCAAACTTTAAGATGGCCTCCCTCGGATCCTGGTCGTCGTCCACACGCTTGCTCAGGCCAAGATTGCGGATGACGTAGGAGGAGAGCGTGCCACCAGAGCTGGCCACGCGACCGCCCTGTCCGCTGGTGATGGGCAAGTCCGGCCGCTTGGACTTGACCGGATCCATGCGCGCCTTCTCCATGCGCTTGCGCGAAGTGCGTGACTTCTCCTGCCGGAACAGGGGCAGGGCATGCGGAGTGATGATCTGGGACACTCCCACCATTTCCATGGGCTGCCTCTTGCGATGCGTCTTCACCACGCACAACTTGGCTCCCCGAATGCTTCGCTGTTCGTCATAATAGCACTTGATAGTTCCGTTGCCGCAGCTCACGAACAGTTGGTTGAGTTTCGGATGCCACAGGGTCTTCACCACGTGCGAGCCGGACACAGGGATGCGCTGCACTTCCTCGTAGCTCTTGGTGCTGTAGAAATACAAGTTCGCTTCGGTCTGGCCTTTGGGCAGCGATTCGCCGGTGACCAGCATGCGATCGTCCGGACTGAAGCAGCAGTCGGTCATGTCGTAGCGGGAAAACAGGTTCGTCCAGGTGTGAAGCGGCTGCTTGAACTGCCGCAGATCCCACAGCTTCATGGTCTCATCGTTGCTCCGGGTGGCCAGCTGCTGGCCCATGTAGGAGAACACAATGGAGGTGATCTCGGCGCCCTTCTGGTGAGCCTCCCGCACGCAGTGCGTTGTGTTCACATACATCTTGCGCGTATCCCACGTCTGTATTGATCCGTCCACGCATCCCGCTGCTATGAGTGTGGCGTCCCTGTTGAAGTTGCACGATGCGGCGTTGGTGCGCAGTCCTCCCTGCGCCCGCGTCTTGATCACCTGCACCTGCTCCTTTGCCCGCAGTCCCTGCCAGATGCGCAGGGTGCCATCCAGGGCAGCCGTTAGGAACTGCTCCCGGTTGAAGGGATGCCAACAGCCCGAGGTAAGCTGCGCCACATGTCCCTTGGTTCGCGACATGTCCGAGATGTACTGGTCGCCCTTGCAGCACTCCAGCTTCTCGAAGCCATCGCGATCGAGCACCTTGGCCTGGGCGTTGCCCGAGATGACCAGGATCATGTCGCCGGTCACGGAGTACTGGAGCGAGCGTATGGGATGGTTCTCGCACGGCTGCAGCTGTCGGAAGCTACGCATGCCGGAGTCCATGCCGGCAAAGTCCCAGAAGCACATGTCGTAGTCAATCGAGCCGGAGACCAAACGGGCGCCCGAGGGATCGCCGGCCAGTGCCAGGACAGCCCGCGATCCGTGCTGCATCTGCACTTCGTGCGTGTAGGGTATCCTCTTGGCCAGGCTCTGCTCGTCGTCGTCGTCGGAATCCTCATCGGAGGAATCATCATCGGAATCTTCGGCTTTGGCAGGCTCTTTGGTGGATTTGTCCTTTTCCTCCGCAGCAGACGGGGGTAGAGGTCCTATAACGTCTTCTTCATCCTCAGCTCCCTTATCCGCCGTGGTCTCCTCCTTCTTCCTGTCCAATCCTGGACGCGTAATCCTGGCCTTTTCGATCTGCTCGCTGATGTCGAACACCTTGGCCGCCTTGCGCCCGAATCCACTGATGCCCATCACCTCCTTCAGGTGCTGGCTCTCCAGATCCTCGGCCACATCCTCGATTTGTCGAATCATCTGCACTTTGTCCATTTTCTTAAATCCGCCACCACTTCCACTAGCCTCAGATGAGTCCTCCTCATCTTTCTTTGTGGTTTCGTTGGATTTTGTCTCGGCTGGCGGTTTATTAATATTCAACTGGATTTTTCCAAACGATATTTTACCACGTTGCATGGCTTATGGCTTTTACACTGTGCTCTTAATTAATATAAGTCAATTTCTCTAAAGTTTCCCTCTGAACAAATGCGGCTATTTTGGTAAACAAAAGTATGATGTGACCGTTTTTAATATATAAACACCGCTTTGGTATTTAAAGAAAAAGCAGTATGTATGGAATATACTACGGTCACTCTGGTTTGGTTCTCAGCGGCGTCTAACCTAAAATTAGGCGCGCAGTGTTGTTTTTTGTCGGCCGAATTTATTGCAAATTGTAGACAATTTCGCAAGGCGGCGCAATATATTGTTGATTTGTTAAGTTATTTGTGCAGTAGAACCGCAGAATGACGGAATCGCTGGAGTACAATGACATAAACGCCGAAGTGCGCGGTGTCTTGGTGAGTCGCAAATTGCGCCTGAGATTTTGGCACATTTTAGCTGATTTTCCCTTTTCCCACGCAAAAGTCTTCCGGACGCTTGAAGCTGACCGACCAGAACATCATCTTCAAGAACACCAAGACCGGCAAGGTGGAGCAGATCTCGGCGGACGACATAGACCTCATCAACTCGCAGAAGTTTGTGGGCACCTGGGGACTGAGGGTGTTCACCAAGAGCGGGCTGCTGCACCGCTTCTCGGGTTTCCGCGACAGCGAGAACGAGAAGCTGGGCAAGTTCATCAAGGAGGCCTACTCGCAGGACATGGTCGAGAAGGAGATGTGCGTGAAGGGCTGGAACTGGGGCACCGCCCGCTTCATGGGCTCCGTGCTGAGCTTCGACAAGGATTCGAAGACCATCTTCGAGGTGCCGCTGTCTCACGTTTCGCAGTGTGTCACCGGCAAGAACGAGGTCACCTTGGAGTTCCATCAGAACGACGACGCGCCCGTCGGCCTGCTCGAGATGCGCTTTCACATTCCGGCCGTGGAGTCGGCCGAGGAGGATCCGGTGGACAAGTTCCATCAGAACGTGATGAGCAAGGCCTCGGTCATCTCGGCTTCGGGCGAGTCCATTGCCATATTCAGGGAGATCCAGATCCTCACGCCTCGCGGTCGCTACGACATCAAGATCTTCTCCACCTTCTTTCAGCTGCACGGCAAGACGTTCGACTACAAAATACCCATGGACTCGGTGCTGCGGCTCTTCATGCTGCCGCACAAGGACAGCCGGCAGATGTTCTTCGTGCTCTCCCTGGATCCGCCCATCAAGCAGGGCCAGACGCGCTACCACTACCTGGTCCTGCTGTTCGCCCCCGACGAGGAGACCACCATCGAGCTGCCCTTCTCGGAGGCCGAGCTGCGCGACAAGTACGAGGGCAAGCTGGAGAAGGAGATCTCGGGGCCCGTCTACGAGGTCATGGGCAAGGTGATGAAGGTGCTCATCGGGCGGAAGATCACAGGGCCCGGCAACTTCATCGGGCACTCCGGCACGGCGGCCGTGGGCTGCTCCTTCAAGGCCGCCGCCGGATACCTGTATCCGCTGGAGCGGGGATTCATCTATATCCACAAGCCACCACTGCATATCCGCTTCGAGGAGATCAGTTCGGTGAACTTTGCCCGCAGCGGCGGCTCCACGCGCTCGTTCGACTTCGAGGTGACGCTCAAGAACGGCACCGTCCACATTTTCTCCTCCATCGAGAAGGAGGAGTACGCCAAGCTCTTCGACTTCATCACGCAGAAGAAGTTGCATGTCAGCAACATGGGCAAGGACAAGAGCGGCTACAAGGACGTTGACTTCGGCGACTCGGACAACGAGAACGAGCCGGATGCCTATTTGGCCCGCCTCAAGGCAGAGGCCCGCGAAAAGGAGGAGGACGACGACGATGGCGACGATTCGGACGAGGAGTCCACCGATGAGGACTTCAAGCCCAACGAGAACGAGTCCGATGTGGCCGAGGAGTACGACAGCAATGTTGAGAGCGATTCGGACGACGACAGCGATGCCAGTGGAGGCGGAGATGGCGACAGCGATGGCGCCAAAAAGAAGAAGGAGAAGAAGGCCGAGAAAAAGGAGAAAAAGGAGAGAAAGCACAAGGAGAAGGAGCGAACAGTAAGGAAAATTTTTTATCAATTGCAGCATAAACTAACGTCTCTTGTATTTCACTAGAAAAAAGCCAGCAAGAAGAACAAAGACACCGGCAAACCCAAACGGGCCACCACTGCCTTCATGCTCTGGCTGAACGACACGCGCGAGAGCATCAAGAAGGATAATCCGGGCATTAAGGTCACCGAGATCGCCAAGAAGGGCGGCGAGATGTGGAAGGAGCTGAAGGACAAGTCCAAGTGGGAGGAGGCGGCGGCCAAGGACAAGCAGCGCTACCAAGACGAGATGCGCAACTACAAGCCGGGAGCCGGCGATGGCAGCGACAACGAGAAGGCTGCCAAGACGGCCAAGAAACGCAAATCGGAGCCATCGCCGACCAAGAAGGCAAACACCTCCGGCAGCGGCTTCAAGAGCAAGGAGTACATTTCCGACGATGATTCCACCAGCTCCGACGACGAGAAGGGCAAATCCAAGGGCAAAGAGCCCGCCGGCAAGAAAACTAAACCAGGATCCGATGGCGATGACAAAAAGAAGAAGGCCAAGAGTGAAAGCGAAGCGGAGGAGAGCGAGGAGGCTAGCAATGCTAGCGATGAGAATGATGATGATGAGGAGGACGAGGAAGTGGAGGCCAGTGATTAGGGCCAAAAAACACAACGCAACACAACGTAATTCCATTAACACACGCCTCACACACCCATACCCCAAATCTAGTTTACATATGCCTAGTTTTAGTTACGTGCTGCCTGTTGGATACAGACCCATAAGAGTTTATTTTCCAATCAAAACCCAGCAACAAATTAAAAAGAATTGATAATTGCCCATAATGATTGATATTTATCGGCTAAACTCTCGGTTGACTTGTTTTCGCTGCTCCCGAAATGACGCCAGTCATCAGTCACTAATCGTATTTCAGAATCGGGAGTTATGGCCACGTTGAGAGATCTCTTCCTTTGGATCGGGCTGTGGTACATTTCACAGGCACGTCCTCTTTTAATCTGGCTTCGATTATAAATCAATTTTTAGCTCACACACCAGGTCCAAGGAGTTGCCAAGTTCACAAACATTGAGTGCTTGAGTATGGATGAAAGCTTTGCCACCGTTTCCCAGTGTCGATTGTACGCCGTCAAAAGAGATGTGGTCGAAATGAGCCTGAGGGCCCATATTTTACAATGGCCAAAAGCACCAATATCGGTAAGCATGTGTTTATTTTACTACAGAATTCAAGGGTTAGCTCTGTTGTTTTGGTTCACTGGTTTTTGGTTCATAAATGTTGTAACTCTAATTGTACCCTTGCAGAGGGTATTATAATTTCAGTTAATTTCATAAACATTTCAGAATTATGGATATTAAAAAAAGCAAACTTTTAAAAATGTAACTTCTATAATTTTTATTAAAAAAATTTTTTTTTGGAAATAAAAATAATTTAATAGTTTAGATCTGCGGTTTTAATATAATTCAAATCGGAAAACGATATCATATAGCTGCCATAGGATCGATCGAATAATTGAACTGAAAATAATATTAAACATACCTATAGCCATATAAATCGAAATACATATGCATACGTATAAGAGCTTCGGCTTACCGAAGTTTGCTGCCTTTCTTGTTTTAAGATAGCTTCTTTTATAATTTATAGGCAGTTCCTTAGACTGAAAAATCTATTTATTTATATTAAGCAATAACTCAGCAACTAAACGATTATTAAGGGTTTTTTTGATATAAAAGGTGGTTGATAGATTGTCGTTGACCGACTTCCTTGTCGGTAGTCCCGATCATCGAGTTGGCCAGCAGATCCTCAACGTCGTCATATAGCTCCTCCTTCTGATCGTTCCGGTTGAATTTCGTGGCAAGCTCCTCGTTAGACGGCTTGAAAATCTTTGATTTACGTTTCACACGGTGATTAAGGATGCCCGATGACTCCAGCAACTTGATGTTCTTCTCGACCAGATCGTTCAGGGAATGAGCCGAGTGCAGATCGGTGGTGGCCCTTGTAACGCCCAACTGAGTCTCTTCGAAATCATCACCGTTGACGCCCAATAGGCTGCCAACGGGACTGGAGTAGCTGGAGAGATGTTGGGCTGATGTACGGACCGAAGCGGGAGCCGAGTCTGGATCCTCCGATGCCCCAACTCCAGTGGCCTCCACCAAGTCCCCTGACTTATCTGTGCTCGATCTAGACCAGAGGTGGGTCACAAAGGGCAGCGCATAGGTCTGACTGCGGAACCAAAGCTGCGTCATCCAAACGAAGATGTCGCCGAGGAGCTTGTCCTGGCCGCGGTGCAGGAAGTGATCGATCTGCTCCTGGCGCCTGGCCAGCACCGGACTAAGGACGGCATCGAAGATCCAGACATTGGCCGCCGGGGCGGACAGGACGATCCACAGGATCAGGAGGAATTTGGTGGGCATGTAAAGCGGCAGCCACGACAAGAAGGTATCGGCCAGCACCTCGAAGGTGACCAGGAATGCATACACTATCCAGTACTTGGCCCAGGCCAGGAACATCGTATCGCCGTTGTTGAGGGTCTTGTAGGTGTGCCATGCTGGTCCCAAAGTGCCATACACGAAGAACAACAAACGCGAGAGACAGCTGAACAAACACATTTCGATGTGCATTCAGCTCTTTGCTTAACCTTCTGGCCAAAGTATTAATCTAGATTAAATGGTTAGACTAATGTCTGTTCTTTCGACGACAATTCGGAATTTTATGCATGTGATGAAACAAAATTTGGCAGTTAAGTTGGCAGTTGTGTGCACAGAAAACCTTTCGTTTAAACTGTTTCAAAATATCCAGTGCTAGAATATAAGTGAAAAGCAAAGCCTGCCTAACTTTAAACTTTGTTACATACTTATTGATCATTGGTGGTAAAATAACTTATAGTTGGATTTTTAATAATGCATAATTAATAAATTAAATAATAATTAATCAATTTTCTGCAGATGCGCATGCAGTTACTAAAAAAAGCGAGTGGCTACAAACCTTTTCTGTATAATATCTGCCAGTCGGATGTGTGCGAGTACTTGGAGAAGCGAAATCATCCCTTTATCAATATTATTCTCAACAGTTTCGTCAATAGAACCAACATTAACAAGTGCCCAATACCAGTGAGTTGTACTTAAGCCTAAAATACTTTTTATAAATTTTCTTTTTTAATATTTTTTGTCAGCCTGAAATTATATTGGAGCACTTTCGATTTCCGGTGAAGGTATTGGACATGATGCCCCTGCCATCTGGGGACTATGGTCTGTTCACCACCTTCAGTTTCGGCCAAAAGGAACGAGCCCAGGTTAAGGTTTATTTCACACTAACCGAATATCGCTAATAAAGCCATGCACATGAGTCGAATATTTGTAATAAACTTCAGTTGCGGTGCAATAAACCAATTAATAAATTTGCAATAAATTTGTTAACTGGCCGTTAAAGAGCTTTCGGATTTGATTATCCCTTTGTAATCATAATAAACGGATTTTAATTAAAATTATTAATGAGTGCATTTTATTTGAGTTTAATATGTATAGATGGTCCGGACACGTGGAAATTGAATTTATTGATTTTATTATTAATTAATTTCTGGCTGTTCCAAGGTCAGGATCATTGGCATTCTGATTCAGATCGCTTTTCAACCGAAATTTCTTTCACACACAGACCCAATCAGACTCGACTCGACTTTATGACCCTGCCCAAAGCTGAACGCTCATGACATTTCGGGTAGGCATTCAAAAAGCCATCAAGAAAAGGTTCCCATACCATTCGCAGGCATTTCGGCAATCGAAACCCAATCTCCAAATCAATTGTAATTGTGTCTAATAAATGAAATGTTGACGGAAATAACGCAGAAAATAATGGTGGGCAACGAACGAACGTTACGTGTTCGATTGTAAAAGGCAAAAAGGCAAAAATCACAATTACCAGCATGCATGCATAATTAATTTGTGGGTCAATTGCAAAAACTTGAACTTCAATTCAAGTGGCTTTGGCTCTGAGCTCCACTGGGGTGTCATCTTTGGGCACATCGCCTAGGAAGTAACATTTTGTGGCACTTTGGGATTTGCATAAATGCCGCCAATTAATTTTGTTATGCAAATTAATGACAAACAATTAGCGATGCGAGACAAAGCCGATTTATTAATTGCACATTATTATTATTATTGTATTTTTTTTTTTACAAAATATGTAAATGTAAATATTTATTTGGCACTCTGTTTTGCGGGTTGTGCTGTTCGATGCTGTCAATGGCAATGCGCGCTTTATCGCTATCGCTGATTAACCCAAATTTAAATGGAGCTTACCCCAAGCATTTAATCTGAGAAGTGAGAAAAGTGCGGCCAAAGGCTAAGGAACTTTGGTAAGAAGCTAATGACACCTCGATGTGGGTGCAGGCAGCTGATGAAATTATCATGAAATGTAAATGATTAAGCATTGCACTGGGAACTCATTGTGCATAAAAACACGAATTTTAAAGCAATTATAATGCTAAGTTAAAGGTAAGGTAAATTTTTAAAAATATCTGAAACACTTTCTAAAAGTCTTATAAATTTTAATGAGCAGTTTTTCCTAATAAACTAAGCAAAGTATTTTATATGATAATAATAAACCTTGCATTTCTGGTACTTATTAATTATTTTTAATGCGCTGAACAAATTTTCTTCCTGTTAAACAAAATTAACACTTTTTGTTATTTATTGATCAGTAAAATCAAATTAAATACAGGAAATTAATAAAATAATAAATTGTTTTTAAATGATATACTCCTTTATTGGTTTTAGAATTTGTTTTGACCCCCATCGAGATGTTGTTCAAGCCGCAATAAACTGAATTGGATCCCCGAAAGATCATCGATAAACAAAATTGAAACAAATTGCTTTACAATGGTCATACGAATGCGTCATTTACATTGCGGTTGTTATTGCGAATTTGTTGAATTATGGATTTTGATCAAGATTAATAGTGTGCTAATTGCATTAAGATTGTTGCCAGCAGCATTCCCCCAAAAGTCGCAAGTTCGTTGCTTCAGTCTTTTGTTTGCGCCTGCCGTTCGCCGTTTGCAATTAATCAGCTGCATCCCCACAAAATCGGCACAAGTGTTCTGCTTCGCTTTCAACAATTTATCGGCCACAATTTTGTTCGCCAATTTGTAATTACATGGTGGGCCATTGGCCAACAAATTGCTACTGATCGTCGGATCATCGATTCCTGGCGCCGATCCATGAATCAATTAACATGCCCCGTCCTCTGGCATTGAACTTTTCTAATTGAAGATTAATGGAAAGACGCGCCAGACTGGCAGCTGCTTCTGTAAACTCCCCAAAACTGAATCACCACCAATCCGAACCGATCAGATCAGATTCCGCATTTAATCGGTGACGTTTGCAAGGGCAAGAAAACAAGTAACACTGTAGTTCACGAGTCTACTTGGCATGACCTGGCTTAATTCTCTTGCTGCGTCGCAAAGGTATGGATGGCTTATTGTCCCCCGGCTGTTGATCCTCCAATCTTTGGGTCAGATAGTCGATGATGTTGTGCATGGACTCGCGGTCCAACCCGTCCAGCGGAATAGTTTGATTTGGGCATTTTCCAGATTCCGCCAGATTCTGAGTACAGAGATTCATACACCTTTTGTGCCTTCGCCGTTTGTCGGCCTCATCCTTTTCGATCTCGGCCATAAGATGGGTTAGTTCTCGCTTCAAAAGATCGTCGTTGAGTCGGGGTTCCATTCTCTGTTCGTCCAAATCCCTGGGGATAACCGTAAGTACCAGTGGTAGTTGCATAAACTTGTGAAAGTTCTTCCTAACAAGGGCTCCATGCCAGCGAAAACCTCGATCGATAATTGGCTCGAGTTGCTCCATAACGTATTTCGTTATAAAGTTATATAGATGATTGGTGCTGTATGGGGCACTAAACCAAAGGCATATGGACAGTATCAGCTTGAGAGCAGCGTAATATGGCAGCCAGCCAATGAGGAAATCTGTGAGGACTCCAAAGCCCTGCAACAAGGCATAGATTACCCAATATTTCAGCCAGAGAACGATGAAGTGCCTTTGGCCCTGGCCTAAAGCTCTCAAAGTGGTCCAGCCGGGACACAGAGTTCCATAATATATATATACTAGACGCAACATTCTTGAATATCCCAATTTTACAGGAGAACTGAATAAACAAAATAAATTTACAAAATAAAAAGTTATATTTGTATTTGATAAAAGTACGTTTGCTAAGCTTGAAATATGTGATATGAATAAGCTGGGGAGACATTATATTCGAGGAATCGTTATTTTCTGAAAAAGATTTGGTTGAACAATGTGCCTAAAACTAAATTGCCTTAATTATAGGACAAAATTGCCTTAGAATTAGGAATAATTGCCTTAAATTTGAGACTTCCATAAAAAATGTAGGAACAAAATTAAAGGCAATAAATTCCTTGGCAGTCGTTTTAGGTAATGACATTCAACTTTGAGGCCATTATTCCTAATGTTAAGGAAATTTTTCCTCAAACCAAGGAATTTAGTATTCTGAGTGTATCTGCCATTTAATTGGTTCCTTAATTTTCCGCCTGAAATATAATAAGCAGACATCATGTCTTCTATTGGTTTCCCACTGAAAATAGTTTATAATGATTGTGCTCACATTCCATGAAACCGAAAGACAATCAAATAATTCCTTGTCACTTCCTAGAGTCGGCTCTAAGTGCAATCAAAAAATCTGTGGCCAGCACTTGGCCATCAGTGGCAACGCGAAATGGCGACGGTTTGAACCGGGCTAAGTGCCTTGGGGCATTGCCTGCGGCTTTCGCAAGACCAGGAGCCAAAAAACCATGGGTATCCGCGTGTGTGCGCGCCTGTCTTTAAGCCAGCTTTATGCATATTTATAGATTTGTTTGGCCGACTAACAAACCAAAATAAACCAGAAGAGGGGGGAGAAAGAGACCCAGTTTATGGGCCAGATTGTATTAATGGCGGCGCCTTTTTGGCCAAAACACTGCCTGGGTCCATTGGGCATTCGGTAGTCGCGAGCAGTTGGTTCGACCTGACATAATGGAAATAATAATATAATCGATTCGCTGCAATTTTGCTCAACTTGTTCGACCTGTCTGCCCCTTAAATTTATGAACATTTCTTCAGTTGAAATCGGGACTTCGTTTATCCGCTTCACCTGTTCGATATTACTTTTGATATTCCCCTGATCCAAACTTAAACCAGATTAGTTTGTTTAGTTGTTCGTTCGGCTTATTACATCATTTAAATAAGCCAAACGTTTTGTTTGACAATTTCGTAAACATTTCGTTGGCGGATTTTAAGATTTCCAAACGAACTCCCAAAAACAGAGTCAAAGTAGCGTTAAATGTTGAAAATTATGCAAATTGTTTATGGCTTTTCTTTGTTTATTTTTGTAGAAATTTTCGGAGGAGGAGACACATAAATATTGAATCCAGCTGGGATGTATTTTTAAATGGGTTTTGTTTTTTGGTCTTTTTATGTTATTGCTTTTATATGTTTTATGTAGCATTTGTGTACGCTGACGCCTCGTTAACACTGGCCATATGTGTGAGTGGGGATTGAAAGCTGGATGCGATGATCTGTTAACCTTTTTATCGGCGATTCGAACCTCATCTGCGGTTGCCCAACCTCCATCTTTCTCCACCTCTTTTGGCTTTGAATTTTTGGGCTATCGATGCGGGCAGATTGACATTGACCCCTTGACTTGACATGGATTAATATATCTGTGGGGATGGGACGTGAAAAACTTACAATTTGATTTATCGAACACCTGGTGGTACTACATTTTCACCAATGACCTTCCGTCTTTTACATTTTTTAATGTTTTTTGTTGACTAAATTATTAAATACCAGAAAAGCTCTCAAAAAGTCAATATTTTGCTCAAAATATTCTTTAAAGTAATGAAATTCATACCAATTTTTTTTTTTAAATAAATGTGTTGAAACCCTAAACACTTCATTTACTTAGTAAGTATTTATTTTATAATTTTCAGCAAATCGTGATATTAAACAGGGAGAAATAGAAAACGTTTTAAATTTGTATGCACAATATATCTTCAATCCAGCCAGATTTTAACCGAGGAGATATCTTCTCTCAATAAGCCTGGGAACCCATTTATTAGAATGAAAAATTCGTATGCCACACGTCGATTTACTTCAGCTCTTTCCAGGAAAAAAAAACTCGTTTAGGGTTCAACAATTTCGAACGAGACAAAAAGCGAGAACAATTGTCCAAAAGCCAAAGGAAATTGTGTCAAATAATATTTAATACCTGCGAAGTCAAATGCTCAAATGCGATGCACTGTGAGAAAGTCAAGACTTGGCCAATAAACAGCGCAATTTAAAGGCAATGTAAACAAATGCAAAGTAATTAACACGAAATCCGCATAAAAGTAATGAGTTCAATTGCCAAAACGAAACCTGTTCGGCAGCGCTTAAAGATCGGTGATTAGGAGGCGAAGGGGTGCCAATGGGGGTGGAACTCACAGCTCACAGCTCATTAATAGATGGGTATCTCTAATGTCGAGTTAAATGTCGCCTGAAATGCTGCAGATATGAGATCTGCATGGGTTGTTCGCGGCATGCAAATGAGGTCGCAGTGGGAGGATGGGTCTCGAGATCTCTGATCCCACATCTCGTGCGAATCCGTTGAGTCATCCACGCGATCGGATCGGTTCGTTGCCGTTTCACCCAAAAAGCATTTGATGATCCTGCTGCCACAGCTGCTGCACTTACGTAGGCGGTTCACTGTGCCCCGATTTTATTAGGAACTCGGCCCATTGAGATCTTCACATCGATCTCTCAATGTGTGACAATTACCTTTTTAATTGGCCCACTTTGAATGGAACGATTTGATTTTAATATTTTATATATTTATTCACGTGGGAGTTAAATGAGTTTTTATCAATGCGAACATAAACAATTTCGCAGCCGCACTGCCATTGAACTTGGTGTGAATGAAACGATTTTTTCTAACACTTTTGAAAAATCGCTTTTGTTTGCTTTGTCTCGATTGTAAACGGGGGAAGTGACTTGAATGGAATTTTGGATTGGATTGGATTGTTGAAGTGGGTTAATCATTATTAGGAGATTTTGGTATAGAATTTTCAGATTAAGCCTTCAAACTGCACTGGGTCATAAAAATGGTCTAAGGTTTAAGAAAAAACTACACATAACAAAAAATTGTCATAGAATCTAAACTATTGTTACAGGAATTTTAAAATATTTCTCAATAAGATGGGCATTAAAATAAATACCTCAATTGATCAAAATAAAACTTATATGGTTAAAACGTAAAGCTATAGTTACATACTCTCCAGTATAGAAATTAAATTAAAAAGTATATTATAGTTATATTATTATGTATTGAATTAATACTTTCACTTTAAATCTGTCTGTTTATTTTCAAAGCACAGTTTAAAAATTAAACTTTCAGTTTCATTAAATGTAGAAAGGATATTGTTTATGGACTGTCGTTTTTTAATCGATTTTAATATATATTTATTTTTTTTTTAAGCTTTTTGAGCTTTTAGATGAATCTACTACTGCTATATCTCAACCGTTAGACAGGGATCACGATTGTTTTGTTCGGTTTCCTGTTCTAAGTGTCAGCGATGTCAATGCCCAAATGACACCTTCTTAATTAATTTAGCATTCGTTTCGCCAATTAAACAATGTCAAATGTTTCGAATTACTCGTAACATCTTCAATGCGAAGATTCCCGCTTAAAGATTAATTAAGGCGAGGCTTTACAGCATTAATCAGGCGGACTTGGCTCAAAGAGTCATTCAACGGAGTTGGAAACACACAACATTGTTTTGGCCGAAACAAAACTCACTCAAAAGCTGGCTCAAAGCGAAGCTCGGCTCGAACTATGGAACGAAAAACGCAAGTGTTTTATGTTTTCGCTTTCGTTGGCGAGCTTTCAAGGCTTTTGGCTTTGGCTTACACCCAGCAGACCCAGCAGATCAGATCGTCGTCTAGCAGTTTGGCCCAAAGCTCCGCTCTCGGACCGCCGATGGTGCCGTCCCGCTCGCACCGCCAGCTTTGGATCAGTTTTGGACTCCGTCGAGCGGCCCCAGCGAGCGTTAACTTTAGTGTGCGCCGACCTGTTTCCGTAGACGGCCACAAAAAACCGTCGAAGACATAGCCACGAGCCAACCTTTTGGATTTCGATTTCAATTTCGAGAAACGGTTATGCAGATCGCTCAAAATAAATTTTCGAAAAATCCCCAAAAGTGACTGTTACAGCTGCCACACAATAATATATGCAATATATTCTATCTGAGTGCAGTGACAAGATCGTGACGTCAGCGCAGCTCAAAAGTGCAATTCCCCAACAAAAAAAAACAAAGCTCAATTTGCAATCTCTCGCCCCGTTTTACCCCGTTTTCGTAATCGCATCGTGCAAAAAGCAAAAAAAAGTAAAAAGAGTTATTAACAAAAAGTGAATCTGCCAGCTGGCCTCCCGCTCGCACTCACCCAGTATTATTGGTACCGCTGCCGTCGACGTCGACGTCGCTGTCGCCGCGCTCTTCATTGTTTATGTTTTTTTGTGTTCTTACCCCCCTCCCCCTCCCAGAAGGCGGAGAAGTAAGTAATAATAAAAGCAATGCGCTCGCAATGAAACGAAATTGAGTGAAAAAATAAATTTCGTTTACAAAAAAATTAAAAAGCAAAAATAAAGAAAAAAAAAAATTATAAGCGAATGAGAAGAAAAAAATTCACTGCCAAGCAAATTTCACGCCGTATTTAATCTTTGCTCACTGACCGCCTCCAGCTTAATCGCTGCTCGTCTTTCTTTCCGTTCCGTTCGCGATCGCGAGTGTTCTGTGCCCCGATTCTGGATATATAGCTCCGGCTTTAGTCCCAGTAACGGCCACCGATCTAATCCGACCACGATCCAACCCCACCTTTGCATCTCGATTTCCAATCCTACCATTCCCGGGCTGTGTGTTCTGCAGACCGCCGCGCGTTCAGAACAGCACTCGGAACATATACCGCTGAAATCGGCCATCCTTAAACTGAAAGTTGAGAAATTCCTGAAATATTCACAATCCCTTCGCATCGATAATGATAGTGCTCTGTGCCCGCATATGAAAGTGCTGTAGAAAACTTGAAAATCTCATAAAAATCCGTTTGGTGTAGCAAAAAGGAACCAACTTAGGTGAGTTCTTAAACAATATTTTTTAGTTACAAATTTTAAGTTTTACTATAACATCCTCACAATGAGTGGATGAATTAAGGATCATACTTTGTAGAAATACTTAAAGTGAAAAAACTAATAATTAACAATCCTTTAGGAAGTTCTTTTATATATTTTTTGGATGATTTTATAATTTCTTGTAGTTCGTTTATCGTTATTCGATAAATACAATTTTCAATATTTTGTAACTTAAAAAATGTACATTAAAGTATGCATTGTGGCATTTAATATCAGTTTAAGGGAAATACTAAATAAAATCTGAGACAATTTAATTTAATTTTCTACATTTCAATCTGTTTCTGTAAAATTGTTGATAGAATGTTAAATTATAATTTTTTGTATACTATCTTTCACCAGTCTTCCATTAAAAAAAAACATATCTAAAAAATTATAGTCAGCACATGTCAAACCTATCTACAAAAATCGTAATTTTCTTTGATCTTTGATTTTTGGTTATTACCTCATATAACAAAAACATGTTGTGTTGACTTTTACTAATTTGCAGACAAGTTTTGGGTCATAATTATTACTTCATATGTGAGTTTGATTTTGAACATGCTAATTGGTGAATTAAGTAAAAGGAAATGGAAGAGATAGGGGATTTATCTAGGATTGAAAATGATAAATAAATAAATTTATAAAAATTGCAGTGTAAGAGACTTTTGTCCCTTTACAGATTCAGTGCGAAAATAAAGATTTCTAGAGCAGGATCTTTAGTCTTGGGTGGGGGATATATACACGTATACGACTTTATACAATACTCTTGTCTGGTTTTTAGTTCAGCCCACAAAATGGGCTTGTTTCCCAGTTTTAAGTTCAGTTGAGCTGGTTTTGTTTTATATTTTTGTTTCGCTGAAACAACTTTTCGTGCCGACTTGTTGTTATTGCTGTTGTGGGCTTATTATCTCATTGTTGTTGTGTGAGTTTGGCTTTTGGTGTGTTTTTCAGTGTTCAGTTTTCAGTTGGCTTTGCCAGCCACGGACCAATGCGATTTTGTAATATTGCTACAGTTATTATTGCCCGCCACGCTTTGCTCTCCGCAGTGAATTTTAGTTATTTTTGCTGCAATTATTGCAGTTTTTGATTTCAACAAAGAGAGTGAGAGGGCGAGAGAAAAAGCGAGAGCTTTGAGCTTTCGGATCGGCCTTTGTTCGATTATAGCCATATATCCATCGATTTGCCACCACTTTCTATGCTATTGATATTCTTTGGAAGCCGCCGTAACAACAGCCCTTCTGGGGCTTTGTCTGGATTTCCTCAAAAACACCCATTTATTTGTGCCATTCGATAGCGATCATTCATCAGATTCGGAGTTCAGTTCGCTTTCAATTCATCTTTTATACCGCAATTTGTTTCTTGGGATCTTTTTTAGCTTTTTCATTGACATCGGCGAAGACGAAACTCGAGTAACCTGTTTGTTTTTTATTTTTTATTTGTGTTGTGTTGTTTCAGTTGCCTAGCCACTCAATTTACTTAGTTGTTGTTGCTATTTCAGTTTGTTTAACATTCATGGAATAGTTTGTCAGGGTAGTCAATGTACCCAGGTTATTTTTGTTATTTACGCAAAATATGTTTGCTTGTAAATGGTTTTTTTTATTTAAGTTTCATTATATTACTTTTGTTAGTATGTATTTAATTTTTGTTAAATTTTGTATAAAGTGTATTTAAATGTTTTGAAAGCTTTAGGCAAGAATTCAATTTTTAAGATTTGCCCACATAATCATAGCTCTAAATAGTTTTGCTATTCAGTGACTTTCTCTAATTAATTTGTTTTGAATTAGCTTTTTGACAAGAAGAAATTTCGAAGACACAAATCTTTAAAACGTCTTTCATTGTACATTTTTATGACAACCTTTAATATAAAAATTTACCTTTAAATACATAGAATTATTTATTACTGTTAAATGAAATATGCAAATTTTAAACCATTTAAAACGAAATCAAATGATTGATTTAGCAATTTAGCAATTTAAAACCATTGCCAAAATCCATTAGACTTACTTTTAAAACGTAAAAAGTTTACGATTGCCTTACAAAAGGCAATAATCGGAAAAAATAATAAATGCAAATAATATTAAAAAGCCATGGAAACCATCGCACAAATCGAAGCAAAGTTGAAGTCAAACATTTTAGCCGACGTCTTCTTCAATTTCAATTACATTTTCACTTTCATTTTCATGCGGTTTACGGCTTTTCCGACTTCGACCGCAACGCCGACTGCGTCGCTGACGCAGCACGCAATCAGTGCAGTTTATTGTTATTGTTTTTGTAGTTGTTGTTGCTGGCGGCATTGCATGTTGTAACAGCAGCTGAAAAATTATAACAAGAGCAACAATAATTGCAAGAGCAAAAGACAGAAACAACAACGAAACAGGAGTAAATATTCAATTCCGAAATATGGTTTTATGTTTTTGTTGTTTATGATGTTGCATATTCTTTGGGCAAATATTTTATTTATTTTCTTTCTCTGACTATTCGCTTGCCATTGTCTGTCATTGCTGGCTCATCTTTAAATTTAATTATTGTAGTTTGGCATATTACGTATACGCAGTGCGGTTGGTTTTTTGTCCGCATGTATCCACCGTGTCTTGCAATTTTTCAATATCTGCTCATTTTATAATGGCATTTTAATTATTAATTTGGGGGGGGAAGGAAAAAAAGGTACATATCTTCAAACTTGTTTTTCGGTGATGTATCTTTATTTGTTTACCCATCCCCCCCCCAGCATCAGCACATTACGTATACGCACCATGCCTTTGTTGTGTGCAGAACTCTGTTGGACGGTCTTGGCTAACAATCTAATATGCATAAATGAATAATATGCTTAGGAGCAGATGTTTTGGACATTTAAGCCGCGGCCCTGAAACCAGTTTAGCAGCCATGATCTTCAATGGGTTATGTCAGCGAACCTAGAATTCAAATTGGGCTCACTCAAATATTTGTATTTGACATTTGGCCATACTTTATTTCTTTTTGTTCGTCATTAACTCCATTTGCACAGCTGTTTCTTCAGCTCAACGCTTTCGACAGCCAAAAACTCAAGGTGCAAGTTCCCAAACCTCACACATTCATTGCTTTATCATTATAAAACAATGGCCAAAAGATTCGCTCGCCCTTTTCCACAAAGCACACACACAGACGTTGGGCAAATGCAAAAAGTTCAGGTCACAGACATTTTACGTAATCTCCACCTCCACTTGATCGTTGTCTGCAACATGCAGCGGAATTGTCGGTGAAATATTAAGGAAAATGTATTATCTCTTGTGCAAAACGTTCACAGTTGAACTTTGTTATGTCACATTTGGGCCAATTTATGTGTGATCCAGTTTGTTTTTGTTTTTGCCTTCTTTGGCTACAGACAAGCTGGGAAATGGGTGCGCAGCGTTACTCATTCGCCCCGTTCTTTGAGCCAATGTCACTTGGCAGACAGGCTGGCAATAAATGAGGGAAATGGGTTCATTATCAAGCCAAATGAAGAGCTACCGATTCAGGTGCTGACACAGGTTCCCCCGAAAAACCAGCTGTTTGTCTGTGTCTGTCAATCCGGAGATAGGTGCTGGCCAATTGTCAATGTCAATTTAAACGAAAACGAAAACGCTGACGCCCTCCAAAAAATAAAAGATCGAGACAACGAGCTTACAACAGACTCGGGCACAGAGGGTTGTGTCAGCAAATTCATTAAGAAAGCAAAAGCTAAAAGCAGCAACACACAAAAAATTCCCATAAACCGAAACAGACGCTGACTTTATGGTAAAAGCAAAAGCCACAAAAAAGCGGGGGAAAAAAAGTAAAAAAAAAAAATATATGGCCGAGCGGCATAATTATGCGGAAGCTGACAATGCAACTTGCTTTGCTGTCTCCCCGTTTCGGCGGCTTTTTGGCACAATTCCGTTTCCACACTTTTGAGCCAGCTTCTGTTTGAAATTGGTTGACATTTGATGATGCGTATCTTTTTTACTTATCCACATATATTTTTTCCTAAAGCCCGTAATTATATAAAAATATGAACGGGAATTATGCAAGCTTGAATATAAATCAAATAGCCGTTTTGCCATAGCCGTAACCTTGAGCTGGCTCAGATTCAGATTCAGATTTATGCATGGGCACACACATATGGCAAATGATTCGACCCTAATCGACCTTAATTATGCAAATGATAGACTGAATGAAGTTGCCATCTTTTTGGCCTGCGTTCGCTTGCCTCATAACTGTTTATCATCTGATTTGGTGTGTATTGTAAAATATGAATCGAAATATATACAAGATTATTTGCGGTCACGTTTTGGCTTCAGTTTTATTTATGTGCATTCAAATTTCCTGATAACTTGGCTGCAGCTAATGCAATTTACTCGGCTTTCGTTTAACACTCTTCAATGCTCTTAATTCGTGTTTGGCTTTTTGGGTGAAAGTCTTACCTTGAAGGTTGCCAAATTGCACTTTGCTTTGCTGCTTTTTTATGAGTTATTACACCTGTGCACAAGCCATGTGGCCTTTGGCCAAAAGTTGGAATTATGTTTTATGTTTTAACAACGTTTTAAGTGTGTTGTAACGATGTTCTATGTCTGGTCCTCATAAAAAATATTTATTAATTACTGTTTAATTTATTACCTCATTACCAAGACCATAAAATTAAGTTTGTGCTCTAAGTCTTTTAATTGGTAATAAATATATTTGAATATTTTTTTATGTTTCTTACCATTTTTGCTCAGCACCTGCCACCTGAAAATTGCACTTTCTTTGGTCTGAAGATTTGTAGCTTACTCTGACTTACAATTTGAGGAAAAACCATAGGTAAATGTTTTGGGGCATTGCCCTTGGGCTGAGCTACACCCATTTTTGGCAATTGCTTTGCCGAACATTTCATTAGGATTGATGATGATTGATTCGCCGGCGAGACTTTCTTCGACTTTAACTGGGCCACGGCAGATCTTGCGGCATGTTGCATGCAAATTGTGCAAAACTTTTGGGGATATAAAATGTCATGCAATTTGTCGTAAACGCCGCTGAGAAGTTGCAACATGAAATTGCAGCTGCCGTTGTTGCTGTTGCTGCTGTTGTTGCCGTTGTTGCTGTTGGTCAGTTCTGTTTGTTTTCTTGGTTGGTTTGTCAAAAGGTTTGGCCATGTTGTTGCCGGTTTGGATGCGATGGATGCTGTTCGCCTCTTGCCACGCATCGCTGCATCATTATTGACAATTAGCCGCATTCGATGCCGGGCGGATGTGCAACTGCAACAGCAACACAAGCAACACAGGCAACAAGAGGGCCGGACAAGATTGTTTTATAGCTGCTTCGAGGCTGCTTCTTGGCCTTATGCAACAATTAATTACTCAGCCAGCGGGCCAGAAAACTAGGTTTTTCTTTCTACAAAAATAAAAGTAAATATTAATTGAAGCAACAACAAGCGTTAAAGTTGCAACAACCGATGCTTATTGTACTTGTTTTACAAACATAATGCCCATTTGAGCATGACCAAGACAGGTTTGTGGGCAGGGAAAAAATGTTTTTATGTGAGGTAGTAAAACTATTATTTTGGAAATAAATATTTTGCATGCTGCAATTGCGTGCAGCGGTTGGGAAAGGATAGATTTAAGTGTTACGATTGAAGGGTGCTATCAGATTTTGCTAAAATAAGGAAAATAAATTTATTTCCATAAAATATATGGAACACTTATATCTGCTTAGCCCAGATAAAGATACCATGACTTTCTGGCTTAAAGAAATCGTTAACAGTTAAGAGAAGCTGATTAATTGGTGTCCCTTTAAAATGATTAAATTATCTGTAATTATTGTTGATTTGTGCTGATATATTAAAGTACTTTTGTTAAAGAAATACATTTAGTGCTACCCCTGCTTAACTAGAAAAACCATCGTAAATGGCTTTTCATAAAATTTAAGGTATTTCTTATTTTAAACTTATTATTATTTAAATTTTAAGTTATTTCAACCAATTAACCTCTTTTTTTCAAAACTCCTCAGTAATTAATGTTGTCTTCTATTATTTTTTTACAGTTTAAGCATTTTTAAGGATAACCTTAGCACCCTAGGCGACCGCCACAGTAAGATGTCCTCAACGTTGGTCCTTATCACAGCGCTCCTCTTGGCCAGCACAGTATGCCAGGCCCTGCCAGATGTAAGTACTTGCCCGGCTCGAAGGCCAATGGCTGCGATCACGTCCATTCGGAGCCCAAGAACCCATCAATCAATTCAATGCGATTTAAATAACCTTTGGGCACTCACTTAAAGTCAGCTTTTAACGGCTTAAAAAAAACCCAACAACAAGTGGCCGCCAGTCAGCGGTTTCATTGTCATTCGCATTGTGCGTAATTAGCATTTCAAGAAATACAAAAACATTTTTTGTATATTAATTAAATTACAAAACAGAGCGGAGAGTCGTAGAGAGAGTCGTCGACGTTAGAAATAAAACGTTTAAGCATTGGCATTGTGTGATTTGGCCCAGGTTTCTGTTTCTGAGCGCGATTGTATGGGTATTTCTCATTGAAATCCAGCACAGCTTACGTTGGCTTTTGTTTGGTTTTGTTTTGTTTTGTTTTGAAGAAAAAGCTCGGACAGCAAAATTATGGCCAAGGTCAGACGTAAAAAGTTCTTGTAATTATTTCAAGTGAATTTCAGTCTGCCTCCTCCCCCTTTTTAGTTATATTTACTTTTATTGCTACAACTTTTTGCTGTCGTTGGTTAATTGTTAGCCGCCCTCCCCTCTTTCTCTTTCATTGTCACTTATGTTTTGGCTTTGACTGAGGAAAATTTCATGATTAAAGCTAGTCCAAGGTTGTTTTAATTCAGTAACCAGCTTCGCTTTAAATTTCCTGCAGACAGAAATGGTCTCTTATCCAATTTCAACTTGCTGTTAAAATAATAAAGCTACTGCTCTTGTATATGACTTTTTTTCCTACAAATGAAATAGACTTGATATTAAAACTCATTTATATTGAAACTTAGACAGCCGTTGAAATGTCAACTTTGTGAACTCTTTCTCATAAAACATTACAAATAGTATTACAAATATTAATAGGGTTTGTGCTAGGGAACTTATTTTTGCAAATATCATTCAAATAAAGATAGTGAAAGAATAACAAATACTAAGATTTTCAATGTACTACAAATTATTTGTGAAAATTTTTCGATAGTGATGAATAGGCCATGACTTTGCCAGTTCCCAAATATTTAAGGCCCAACCGAGTGCAGATTTCGATTAGAGAATGGTGCGTCTGGAGACAAGAGATGGCAGGATAATTGAAGTGGACATGGCTCTGCTCGGTCGCTCGTTGGTCATTCAGGAGATGTGTCGCCTTGGCCAGGATGCAGAGGACGAAGACTTTGTTGTCCCGCTGCACGGCATTCGCAGCGATGTCCTGCTCAAGATCTTACTGTGGGCCCAATTCCACCAGGGTCACGAAGAGCCCGCCTGGGTGGCCAAAAACGTACCGGTTTCGGCCGTGGATATCGAACTCCAAACATCCGACTGGGACAAAGAGTTCCTACGCGTCGAGATCGAGATTATTTGCGACTTGATGGAGGGCTCCAATTACTTGGACATCCGTTGGCTGTACAAGCTCTGTGCCATGAAACTCGTCTTCCACAGCAGACGAGACCCAGTTTCCCAGATTAGCAAGTTTCTGGACGAGATACCCTCTTTGGCCGAGTTCCAGTCACTCTTCACCGAGCAATAGCACAGTACTTTTAAGATGCATATAAATCGATTGGCCATGACACTTAAAAAATATTTATTTAAATTTTAGATGCTTAACTCTTGACTTGTGGTAATCTTGAAATTAAGAAACATATTTAAGGCTTCAAATAGGTTTTTATTTGATAAATTGAATGAGGCAGGTGCAAGAATAAAAATGTATTAATTTGAAAAAATAGTTTAGATATTATTATAATACGGAGTGCAAATGAACAACGATTTTGGGTTATTTTCTTATATTGTTATAAATTCATTTACTACAGTTTATTGAAAAGTGCATTTAAAAACTAAAGCAAATATCAATATCAAAGATTTTGTAAGCTTTATTTTGATTATTTGTTAGTAATGTCCCATACCTTTAAAGAATTTTGTTAAGCACTTTATATTTTTCCGCAGCTAAATATAAATCAATTGGTTATGACGCTAAAAAAATATTTATTCAAGTTTACGATATTTTAGCCTTTACTTGTAGTAATCTTGAAATTAAGACAAATATTTATGACTTTAAAATGATTTTTAATTTAATTTAGAAATATTTTCTTAACATTTTTTTGTAATCTCTTTGGGAAATTTTAAAACAAAGACCATGATATTTCGGTTTGTTTTTGGAGCAAGTTAGCTTTGGCAGAGACATCGACCCCTTAGCCTTGCGATGGCCGCATAAATGGCGCTGGCATAAAAAATGTGCCCCATAAACGACTTCGTCTCCGTTTTCCACTGCAATTAAAGTTGACACGCTACACCAACAACAACAACAACCGAAACGACAACAACAACCAACAAGAAACAGACTAACAACTTTGACGAGGCCCTTCAAATCCCAGCCGAGCATGAAAAAAAGTGATGTAAAAAACCGACTTGAGACATGCAAAACACCACAAGAATATCGATTCGAATTCGAATGAGTCAGCAGCGTTTGCTGCTTTTGTTTTTATTTTTTTATGTTTTCTTTTTTCTGTTTTATGTGCTGTCAGAAATGCAGAAAAAATATGAGATATCCAAATGTTTGCTGGCCTATCAATTGCCGGCCAAATAAATTAAGCCTTTAATTGTGAAATCCAGAACGGCCTGTGGCACGATTCGTTTTTGTCTTTCCTGGGATCGTTTTCGTTTCTTTTTGGCTACTGATCTACTCCTTTTGCTTTTGTCTACAGTTGCCAGCTCTTTGTCACGGCTCAAGCTTTGGTTTTCCTTTTATTTTAATCATTTTTGAGCGCTTGGGTTCTTGGGTCACGTTCTCCCCGCTGTTTTTCAGTGTGTTTGTGTGTGTGCGTACGGTTATAGGAAAATCGGGGGAATGTCAGCGAATGAGTAATTGCCGGCTGATTAAGATATTATGCAATCGAAAGAATTGCCAAAAAGCTAAGTAAAGAATTTTCCATTAAGAGATTATCAAAGATGGAACTGCAGATATTATGCAGATTCTATTAATGGTTTTTAACTTCCTAGGAATATTTAAAGACTTAATAATAATAATTATATTAACTGTGATATTGACATTGAAGTTGGTATAGCATATTCTTTGCCATTAGCAACCCTATTTACCAAAACAAGCAAATCACCCAAAATTCGCTTTGGATAAGGTGTCGTAACACCCTGAACTTTTCACACTTTGCTAATCACTGGCATAAACACAAAATTCCAAAATGGGAGAAGTTAAAACCTGAAAATTTAACGCCGACAGAAGCGGTTGCTAATTTCCGCCGCTTGTCAGCCGTGGCGACAAGGTCAACACACCCAAGGAAATGGAAGGAAAAATGACGAACGCCGACGAGTTCGCAATTTGGTGAATAGTTAATAACCCGCAACTTGCAACCCAAGCCCAAGTTCCAAAATCTTCAAAATCCGCAACGCCTGTATAGCCGTTCATGGCTTTTGTGAGTGAATAATTTCTTTGTGTTTGACTGACTGCGCGAAAGGTCGAGTGACACTCTTTCGAACGTCTGCCGCTGTTGACTTTGACCGGCTGGAAAGAGAGGAAAACAATTGCGAAACAAACACTGCTGGCCGCTGTTGGCCATAAACAGTGTATTGGCCTCAACCAGAGCCAATTTGAAGCACACTTTTTGCGTTAATATGGCGGCTACACCTTTTACTTTGACTTGACTCTGATTGCACTTGGTAGACACTGCCACCACCACCACCACCGCCATCGAAGTCGAACTCGTCGTCATGCCGGTTATAGCGTTGTACTTGCACACCGGGCGTATGAGTAATCTCGCACAATTTCAGTAATTGCCCGCGCAGCAGCAGCAGCAGCAGCCCAGCTAGCCATACAAATTACGAACAGCGCAAATTTCACAATATCCGTCATTGCACTCGGCGAAAACCGAAAATAAAATCAAACTTAAGCTTGGACAAATAGCTGGGTAAACAGCAACTTAATGGCAACTGCCAACCAATCGAATCGAATGACAACTTTAGCTAGGGCTGGATTTGGTTCGTTGGACTTCTAGATGCAGTTGGTTGGCTTCAGTTTAGTTCTTAATAAACTACATTTTGCTAAGAGTCTTGGGAAATATGATATCATGTACAAGAAATCATTAGTGCTTCCTGGCTGCGAAGAATTATTACTATTTTGTGAGTAATAATAATAATAATAACAGATAATGAATTGCAATGAATTATAAGACTTTTCTGATTAATATTTAAGTGTACTTTAAAAATAATTACAAATAATAAATTGTGAGGAATTAGAATTACAAGACTTTTATGATTATTATTTAAAGAATTAAATGTACTTTAAAAATAATTTGTAAAATCAATTTTTTTTAATAGTGGACAACAACAGAGTCCAAGAAAACAAAAATAATGTTAAATTTAATTACTCAAATTAAACTCATAATTAATCTGGCAGCTTAAAAGCCCTGCTGACTAGCTACAATTAAGTATTCGCAATTGTCTGTTTTGTTGAGGCTGAATTTACCACTTCTTTCAACACCTTTGGAGTTGTAATTTTCGATGCCTATCAATGATTTACATAATGTTCAGCCCATTTTCGGTCTTTAAACTGTTTTCCTGGCTATGCAGCTTTGAACCTTTGGCAGCCCTGGTTCTCTAATCGACGCTGGTGATCTTGTTCATTGGATGCCGCCTTTTTTGCATAATTCGTAATTGCCGATCGTAGCGTTTTTTCTCTCTCTCATTTGTTTTTAATTGCGATTAATTGGCCACAAGGGCCGGAGAGCTAAGTGTTGATTGGTGTTTGGGTGTGGTCACATCGCCGCGGTATTTGCATACAGAGAGGGTAAATGAAACGAGAATAATTGTAATTTGCTGCAGGTGCAAGACTTTCCAAATGTGGCCAGCCAAGTGCCCTATGGCCAGGGATTGCACTCCACTCGACGCGACTCAACTGAAATCAACTACTCGACTCGCCGCAATTGCACTCGAGTGGCAAACTCAACGCCTCATCGAAAGAGTAGCTGCCTGCGTCTGTTTTCCTTTCTCAAGCCTCAGTTTCACTTTCAATGGGGCGAAGACGCCGACGACGACGGCGACGACTACGACGACGATGATGGCAAAAGTTGCTCAATGCGACCCCAACAGCTGGCTCCTGTTGTCTGTGGTCGAAAACACGTTTCAAATGAAAGTAAAAACTCTTTGGCATTGTCCCGTGCGTCTGAGCGAGCGTCTGGTTTTTCTTCTGGCGTTTGTTCACCTGCCAGCTCGCCGCTTGGGTTTCAATTATAAAAGAATCATTAAGCCGGGCTTACGGTTATGCCCGCCAGTGTCATCATCATTCAGCACCTCTGGGTTTTAACTGTAAAAGTGAATCTTGTACTTTTGGCCAAGACGGCTCGCTATCTTGTTTACCTTCGTCTTGCGAGTGCTTTGCTTCTTTTTCGACTGTTTCTTGTCCGGAGCTGTCGTCATTTGCTGTAATTCCATTTCTGACTCATTTTAGGCCATTTTGGGCAAATAAATGCAAGAAATTTGCCTAAATCGCCGACCGCTTGCTGGCAGCAAGTTCGTTGCCTGAGTCTTTTGTTTTTGCGCTCGCGTCTTAGACGTTGTTTAAGGAAATCCTACTCTAGCTTTGACCCTGTAACAGATCTGGTTTTTGTTGCCACCACTGCTGCTGAAGCTGATGCTGATTCCATTGCAAGTGAGATGCAGATTTGGCAGATAAATAAAACGGAAATGCAGAAATGTAAGAACCAAAAAAAATCCCAAGATTGATTGATGTAGAATGTCATTTAGAATGGTATGCCAACTGAGTTTATGAATGAATTTAAACATGTGCCAACTACTTCATTTATAAAAATAAACTCAAGTTGGAATTCCCAAACTCTTTGTGTGTGTGAGCAAACTGAATAGAAGAATACAACTATTTATAAGCACAGATTAAAAGTCCATTAATAACAATATAAAATTAATTTGATTTTAATTGAAATTCGCAATTATGGCCAACACACACAATACATGCGGTTATAAAGAAAAAGTTTACACGCAAGTCGGATAAGCTTGCTATTCGATATTTGTTTCTGCTTCTTGTTCGATTCGATTCGTTTGATTCGGAAGTGCTTAAATATATGTGTGTCTGCACACAATAAATAAATCTATCAAACGCCGCATTGACCCTGACCCAGTTAGCGAAGATACTCAAAACCCAGCCGCGTTTGGCTTTGGCTCTGGCTTAGTCGTTAATCTCCAGATAGCTCTTGAGGGGTCCAATGCAAACACGAGCCGAGCAAACGCCGCCAGTGAGAGCGCCAACAAGGCTTGGCAAACACTCGATTATTGCATTGAATTATTGATCATTTTTCAATTATCCATCTGACAATTGCTACAATTTGTAGCCATTGCCCAGGGCAACTTGTCCATGCGATCGTTTTGATTTCTCTCACCCATTTCCATTTCCATTCCCAATTCCAATTCCAGTTGCACAAACAAATGTCGCCGGAGCAGTTGCAGTCAGTCTTCCACGTGGACACCCATGACGCAGTGCCCCACTATGAGCTTGTCCAGCTGCTGCACCATGAAAACAACCACAACCACCAGCGGCGGCGGCGCAGCATCGGCGAGGGGCCAAAGGTCAACGCCGCCCTGCCGCCCCATCACGTGAAAAAGGATCTCAGCAAGAATGCCTACTACAGCGAGCTGAAGCACGAGGCCATGTCCTCGGGCGGCAACCACCTGTTCGGGCCGGAAGTGAGTGCCATCAAGTCGCACAATGTCTCCTTCAGCGCCTTCGGCCAGCACCTGAACCTCAGTCTGCGCGCCACCCAAGGACTCTTCAAGGGCGCGCCCCACCAGCTGCGCATGTGGACGGTGGGCAGCGAACCCAATGCCACCCACGGCCTTGACCTCCAGGAGATCGTTCACGAAGAGGTGAGTCATGCAATTAAATTAGACTTAATTGGGGAGAAAATGCTAGTCTAATCTAGTGATACATTTTTAAATTTTAGAATTAAAACCGTATTTTATTAATTAAGAATTGCCTACGATGAGATCAGAAATACAAATACTACAAATTCAGAGAAAGAAGATTAGCCTACGATTTAGAAAAGGAAGTACTTAACTAATTATAACAAAGATAAATTAATTCTTCAAGTGGTCCCCCACAAAAAAGTCAAGTTAACTAGTTAATTACCCTAATTATCTCCTTAAATAAAAAACTCTAGACTAGACTTTGCAAAAATTCCTTAAAGCTTTTTAATAATTTCATGAAATATATTATAAAAGTAAAAAAAGCTAAGCTATGTATCAATCTGCCATGTGTTTTGCTAAGGTTGCCAATATTATAATATCAACTAAATCAAAAACAACTCACTGTGTTATTTAATTTTGCAACAATCTTTGCAACATATCTTTTCCAAAACTAAATTTTATTTAATCAACAAAATCCATGTCCCACTTTATCCAAAACAACGTAACCTTTCTTCATTCCCATTTTAGTTTGTGTTACTGAAACTATTTTCAATTTTTATTGGCCCTCGTATGTATGTCATATATTTTCATGCCCTAAATTGGCGTTTTGTTGTACGAATTTCCTTACAAGTCTTTCTTTTACTGCACTTTCATTGGTTACATAATGGGTAGCGTAAAAAAATTACTACTTCGCATTTTGTTGCGTTTTGCCTTTGTACGTTTTCTGATTTGTTGATTCGCCATACTTCCGCTTGAGGTAGGCAGATATTTTGTTTCAGCTTTTATCAACGCTTCGTTTTTGGGCTTTTATATATTGTTTTGTTTGGTTTTGTTTTTATTTTACAACTTTACGCGTAACTTTGTTTTTCTGGCATTTAAAAGTTTGTTACTGCATTTGCTTGTTTACGTATCTAATCAAAATTAATTGGCCACGTGATAAAGAGATTTCCTTTTATTTACTCAAACACTTTTGAGCTCACGTTTAATTACATTTCTTTGTTAAAGCGAGAAAAATAATCACGCCGGCATCGAATTAATCTGGCTTAAAGTCAAGGACGGACGGAAATCAGCTCAACAGATTGACTGCAATATGTAACAGTCTTAAGAGCTTAACCTTTTTTATTTTCTTTACCGTTTTTTATCAGTACAATAATGCCAGTCAATTTTAGATTTCGTGCTTGGATCGAAAATAACAATGGATTAAAAGTATTAATATTTACTTTTTCCACCCACAAGTTCCTATAAAATTCATTTAGTCGAGTTGAGCCATGAACGTGACTTTTTTGTAATTACCAATAAGGTTCACTTTCTTTTGGCGTCGAACGCCTTTTCATGGCCTGTTTGTACATATAATTTAATTTTCCCATTTACCCATTATTCATTTTGTTGTTTTTTTCTGCGGCTGTGGTGGGCGTGCTTCTTTCCTACGAAGTACAATCAATTGATCGCACTTTAAATTACGAGTTTTATATTCGGCGGTTATTACCGTCGCTGGGGGAGGGCGGACTGCAAACACAACATAATTTTGAATGCAAGACACAACACTTCGGAAATGAAAGTGAAATGTCATGTCAGGCGACAGCCGAAAAAGAAATGAAGTCGGCGACGCGAACTCTTATGTCTTTGGACTTTGCCAACTGTGGAGTTTTTTAGCTTCTTGTTTTTGCCTTTTTTGTGATTTATGTGTGATAATTTCAGCTTTAAGCCTGGTACTACGAAATGCGGAAAGATTCGTTTGACTTTTCTTTCATTTCTTAGCGGATTTTGTCGTCACTTTTAATTAAAACCGAAATAAGCTGCAGCGGTGTTTTTGGGCATTTTCTGCGCAAGATTGAGTAACCCACGCAAAGGCATTTTCCCCTTTTGAATCTTGTGACTTGGCAATTATTTTTGTTTTTCGGTTTTTTGGACTCATGCCACAAACAAATGGCCTCAAGATATAGACCACATAACTACAACAATTTCAGTGTTTTCTATGTCGAATTTTTTGATATTTTTTTTTCTTTTGGTAATGGCGGCACTTTGTCAGAGACCTTCTAACAGCAGTCAAACAGTCAAAGGAAACAAAAAATGCCATGAAAAACATTTATTCTAATTTCTGGCATTCTGTATCTTTTTTCTGCTTTATTGTTTGCCAACCGCAAAAGTACCGAAAAATAATTTCCCATTGATATCGAGCCTGAAGAACTGACCCCGATTCGTTATTTATTTTGACTTTTGACAAAAACTATTAAGGCTCAGGGAAAATGTTGCGTTTTTCGCCTTTCGATTGGAAATTAAAATTAAATTATAAAAGTGCAATCACTTTTTGTGTTGCGGTGAAAATTTCTCTGTTCAACTATGAAGGTGGAAACCTCATTTTCACCCCTCTCTCGAACTCTCGAAGCTTTACCTTAATACCAAGGCATTCCAAGGAGTTAAAAGGCAAACACAAGGCGTTGCTCGGCACTCCCACTGCCGCATTCAATCGATGAAGGCGATAGGCTCCACACAAAGGTCAGTGCAGCCGCAAAAGTATCAGAAATAAGGCGAAATGAAAACAAAAGTCGCACAGGTATCTGGCAAAATGGAAACGGCTTAAAAGAGGGGAGCGCTAAATCAAGTAAATGCGATTTTTGCACCAGAAAGTGTAGGCAACAAAAATATTTTGATTATACTGGCAAATAAAAAATAATTAAGAAAAATAAATGCTGAAAACATCATAGACTAACTACTAAAAAAAATAAATTTACATATTTGTAGTTAAATTTATGTAATGTTCTTACTATAACCCTTACAATCAATTAATATTTAAACTGGCCATTTATTTTGTAACATGTATTTAAAGTAAAGTTTGTTTTTTTTGGCTTAAATTCCCTGTTGGCTGGAGTAATAAAACAGAAGGCAACTGATCCGGGTTTTCACGAAGTACCCAAGGTACCTACTTCGATAGCAATCTGCAGACAGTAGTGGACTATGACCAATTGCTCGTGGATCATGACTGTGGCGAGAAGAACAATCCCCTTCGGCTGAGGCTTGGCCACCTGCCCGATCGGGACATTGGGGTTCGAGCATTACCATAAAATCGAGCCACAAACGAAAGACTTAGGCAACGAACTCGGGCATTAAGCGTGCATTAGTGATTCCATCCTCCCCCCACCAAACTGCATTCAATATCGCACGCCAACCAGTCGAAGTGAAACTGAAAGCAAAATAATTAAGTTTTCAAAATGCATTTTTGATGGGTGCTAACGCGCAGTGCATAATTAAAGAAATAGTGTGTGTATGTGTGTGTGTGTGAGTGTAAAAGCCTTTGCTGCATGCCACACATTTGCCGCCGCCGCCGCTGCACTCGTTTCACAAGACGCAAAATTGTATCTTGTCATTGCAAAACGATTCCAACTTGTTGTCGACGGCGGAGAAGCATGATTAATGAGCTGGCCGATTTGGCAGCTGAATGAATTCGAAATTAGCTCACTGTGTCCCACTCTCTCTTTCTCTCTCTATCTATTTTTTAAAAGCGCGGGCGATGCATGTTGCGATTCCGCAAAAAATGAAAAACTGAAAAACTGAAAAAACAGAAGAAAAAACGATGAGGGGTGGCAGGAAAACGTTGCGGCTTAGAAAGCAGTTCGGGCTGCATTTCCCTGGCTACCCGCCATCTCCCTCCCACTGGCGCGTTTTTTGTGCGGCTGCAATCGGTTGCATAAGGCGGCAAAAGTTGTTGCCACGGCCTGACAGTTTCTGTGGTTGTTGTTATGCTCATGTTGCAGTTATTGTTAACGCCGAGCGGCTTGTTGCTTTGTAGCCAGCCAACAAGTTGGCTTGTTCGTTCCCTTTTTGCAGCCATTAGGGCAAAACCAAAAAAAAAACGAGGAACTGACTTGCTGACTTATCACCGGAATCAATGAAGTTATCCAAGTGCCTGAAATCGGTGCGGGCAAAGATCGCAGTTCCTACAACAACTCAATGGGTCACATAATTGGCCGAATAATAGACAAATAATGGCCAGCACCAGCCTTGGCATTGTCTTCAAGCCAAACAACAAATCCAGTTCGACTCGACTCACATACAATGCATAATGGTGCGTAATAAACAAGCTAACTGCCAAAGCAAATCAGCCGACACACACACACACACACATGCACACGCATGGATAAATCCGAAGTTATTATTATGCGCAGCTCGAATGCGGCCAATGCGGCGTATGCGTAACGACGCCAAACAAATCAGCGAGCAAACAAACCAACAAATGGAACGAACCAACAAAAAGCGACGCCCACACGTCGTCTAATGCGTTAATTGTCGGTTAACTTGGCTAAATGGCTCGTGGATTTACGCTGCGTACTCACTGAAAGCGTGTGGGATATACAGTACAGACTTTCCATCGAACAATGGCAAATTATCGTCTTTGGGCCGGGCTAAGGGCCTGAGACTAATGCTTTAACCTTCTTCTCGCTTCGGCACCAGCGAAAAAAACAGAAAGAGTTCAGAGGCTAATTTTCACTTTGCCAAGTTCGTCGCTCCGGGTCATTTGTGTCTTTCTTCTTTCAACTTTTCGGCTTAATTTGCATAACAAAATTGCCAAAGAAAGAGCCAAAGAAAATGGGCTTCAAAGATTTAGCCAGGAAGTTGTTAAGTCTTGGGGCTTTTACTTTCATTTCCAACTATTTAGGTGGCCGAGTGCTGATATGAAGCACTGAAAGGGTTTGGTTTTGATGGGAAGGGCTATTTAGCTTTATTTTTTGTATAGATACTTTGTCTATTAAAGAGTATTCATGTCTATAAAACTCTCAAAATATTCTTCCGCCCACACACTTTACAATAAGAGAAAGAAAAGTCCGTCCTTTCTCCCGCCTTTCTCTCGTCAAACAAAAAAGTGTTTTAGACAGAGTTAGGAATTAAATTATTGGCAAAACAAAAATAAAAGCAATACCCTTGGGTCTGAAATTCGCCTCTTACGTAAGACAAAAGCTGCAGCCAAACAAAAAGATACAAAACATTCCGGTCAGAGCCTAATCGCCGCAAAGAGATCTGCATAATGTCTTGTAGCCATTTGTAATTAAAAAATTTACGGCGCCATAAATAAAAAAAAAATATATATATATGGTTCGGTTCAATGGAAATGGAAATGAAAAAGTCGAAGAAAAAAAATGCGCGACAGCTAACAATTTACAATTTGCAAGTCAACTAATTAAAAGTGCGCCAGCGAGAGAGAACAAAATAAGTCAAAATGAGAACAACAATTGTCAATTGGTCCATGCAAAGTGGAGTCAAGAGCAAACGGAGCAGTGCCGTAAGTGGCCAACTGACAGTTCATAAATACTATATGGCCAAAACACTTGGCCAGGCTCCAAGCGTTGACAACTCGAGCTGGATTCGGAGTCGGATTTGGATTTGGATTCGGCTTCGGACTTGGATTCATGGCAGCCAAAATACAAAATCCGAAATACGTGTGGTGGCGTGGGGGTCGCCACTTGCCACTTGTTGCTTTGAACTTATTTTTCCACAAGGTCGCCGTGTCCAACTAGCGCTATACAACAACGAACCAGCGACAACGACAGCAACAACGAATTAAGCCATAAATGCCTGCTGCACATGAAAAATTTTAGTGTGTTGTTGCTGTTGCGTGTCCGCACGCTTGGCGGTCACTTAGCCAACCTAACCGATGCCCCGCCCAATTCTGGACAGCTCAGTAATTCGATCAGTGCGATAAATAATTACCCGGTTCTAAAACAAATCTGGGAAGCAGTCACATGTATTTAATCATAATTTTCAAGGAAAATAGATATTGGGTAGCCCATTCACGAAGGATATGAAAAAAAAATTTTTAAATATACATTACCTTTTCAAATAATTATTAACAATGTAAGTTGGTTACTAGTAACCAGCTTTAATAGAAAAAAATTAAACTTAATAGATTCGCATTTTAAAAGTAATAACATAACATAAACGATATTGTAATTGTTTTCCTTAAGACTTTTAACTAAAAAAGAAATTAAAGAATATAGTAAAGCAAATTAATTAATATATTAAAAATATTTAACAAAAGAAATGGGAAAGTTTTGTTAGATAAAAAAAAAATTTTCATAAGAGCAATATGTGTGGCTTAATGTATTGGGTTTTTATCATTGAAAGCATTTTGTTTAGAATTAAATTTATAACCCCAAATCTTGTTAATGCTTTTAAAATAGTACATAACTAATGTGTTCCCTGAACTTGGTTCTTTTACGACCAATTAAATTCATAGTTTTTAATAAGACCACGTTCATGTATCATGCCCGGACAGCTCTCATCATGCCAAAAGGCCAGTGGCTCTGACTCTAATTTTCAGTTGCATTTTGGCACCTGACTTACTCTGATGCATACGAGTACATATACGGCCTGCCATTTATTGCTCCGATCAAGCGTACTGCGATTAGTAACTGTATATTTGGACGCGGGCAGTTATGATTTATGCTTGTAATTTGATAGAGTGCCGGCACGACAAGTTTTTGAGGTTCGGACGCGGTCCAATGCCAAATGCTATGCCTGATGTCAAGTGTCAGATTACATTTATTTCGATATTTATTACAGAACTCAATTCATTTGATTCGAATCAAATCGAATTGAATAGAATTGAATGGTCAGGCTACGCAGCGGCAATTAATTTAATTAGTTTGACCATAGCGGGACTAAAGATAAGCCGTTGAAAATTAAAATTTATGCTAATTCGAGACTAATATCCCCGGGGTATTTGCTCGGCGGCTGCCTTGAAATGCGAGCACAAGAAAACTCCGAAACGAATGTCTATGTCACAGGATTGAAAAACTAACTAACGAAAAGAAAAACCAAAAATCGAAATCGAAACTAGAGCAGTTGGCCAAATGTCAGAAGCTTAAGCTTTAAGCCTGGCCAGCAGCACTATTTTCATGGTCAGTCTAAAGTCTGCCGCGGCACACACGGCGTATGAGTGACGTGCATGCTGAGGCGTCACATTTGCCGGCCACGAGCATAAATCAAAGCTCAGTTTACCGCTACAGCCAGCCAGCCAGCGACTTCGTCTCCGACTACCCCACGCTCCTCACTAAGTGCCCAAGTAGTCCTCCCAACGATCCCCCGACCAAGTTGCATTTAATTAAATTTACCCACTAACCACGCGTTTTGTCTTGGTCAACTCAGCTGCAGTGGCCACAAAACATACATTTGTTATACCATTCGGTGCCCAATAAAAAAACAAAACGAAAATTGCTTCAAATTTAAGCTATGACCAGCTGCGGCTGCAAACCCATGTGTTTGTTTTACATCGCGCGGAATGTGCGGAATTTAGACCCGTAAAAATGTAAAATGGATATTTAATTGCATTTTTAAACAAATTATATTTTATCACCGCAGAGCTGTCTTACATTTATTAGAGCTACTGGTATCCAATGTTATGACTTTAAGTTTAATTAATAAAAAATAAATCATGGTTGTTTGGCCTGCACATATGTTTCTATGTATATTTCACTAATTTTAATAGTTTAATTAAAAGAAAATAAATCATGACTATTTGGAGCTTATACTTGTGTCTACAAGAGTATTACTATTATTTCATGATTTATTTATACCAATTCTCAACAAAAACTATTCTTAATATTCTTGTCAGCTTAAGGTTTTTTGTTTTATTGCTTTTAAATTGTTTGATAACTAGAAATCTTTGCCAATTAAATGGCAAAAACTTAGTATTTCTTATTGTTTATTATAATTAAACTAATTTTATAACTATTTTTGCAGCACCACAAAAACGATGTTGGAGAAGTCTTTCAAGATGAGAAGAACATGGCTGCCATTTTGATGCGACGCCACATGGAAACGGGCGACCTGATAATGGTAAGTGCTTTAAGATCAATAGCCCCGCCCCCAACACCCGCCTACGCCCACCTTGCAAGGTCACCGCGTTGTAGTGCAATCAATGACGTGCCCCAAGAATTTCAATTAGCGCAAACCATTAATGCTTGTTCTTGGCGTTGTTCGGTTACCGTTTCTGTTTCTGTTCTTGTTTCTGTTCTATGGTTATTTTTTTTGTTATGACAGACGGCCATTGTTATGGTCAGTTTCGGAGTTGGACATGCCGGCCATGTTAACTGCTGGCTCCGACTGTCGCACATTTCAATTTGTGTGTCTGTGCGCCGGGCATTACAATTAAACGCCCGTTGATCGGATATTCAGAACGATGGCGGATAATTTGCGGATTTAGACAATTTCTGCTGATTAAGCATTAATTTATCGCCGCAAAAGCGTTCGGGCCAATTGGCAGCTGTAAATGTAAATGGCCGAGGCAAAAAGCTATAGAAAAATTCAGGGTCGACTAATTGATACCTGCTGTTTTCTCTGAGGTACTTTTAGGACTTTTGATAGTTTGTATAATTATCAAGCAGTTCTAAAGTGCCAAAAAATAGTTTGTCATGCCTTGTAGTTTTTGTATTTTGTATGACAGCTCTATATACCCTCTTAGTAATACATTAGCCACTCTTTTTGTCGCTGACCACCTTGGACCAATTTGACAGGAGTGAAAATTGTGCTGGCGTATGGGCGATAATGCCAAGATAGATTGCAAAAGGCCATAAATGTCCATGTTCTTAGAACAAATACAATCGTTTAGGTATTGAGATATGCTTGAAAACAGCACAGATAACTTGAGGCCATGGCAAATGGCGAATAATACTTTTAAACGCTGACTTTAGCTCAACTCTTTTCGATCATTTAATCAGCAAACAGTATTTTACCCCACCCCGATGCAATTAACATGGCATTTCCTTACCGCCAATTATCAAGGTTGCCATAACTCTCGGTATTATGTGCCATTTCTGTTTATGCTTTAATTTAATATCCAATTTTTATACTGCCGAGGCTTTTAGCTAGCATCAGATAAATTCTGATGACGTTTAATTTAAAGACAATTGGCAATTAACATAAACATTACCCGAGCGGAAATGAAACTCAATATGCAGGAACAAGTTTTGGCATGGAGGAAGTCCGCCTTAATTGCCGGCCATTGTGTGTGAGATCTTTTCTCTTTGATGGCGGGTGGAAATTGAGATCAGGCTGGTCTCATGGGAACAAGAACGAACCTTTTGAGCTTTGCCTGCATGGAGAATTGCACAACCAAATGTCACAATTCAAGCAAATTAATAATCAACAAAGCCAAACGCAAACGCAAAGGCAAACAAATAAGCGGCGGAATCGGCAAAATGGCCAACAAATATTGGCAGACAATAAGGTCAATAAACAACCGTCAGAGACAAAAAAAAAGTCTTGGGGCCTCAACTTTGCCTCTCCGCTTCACTCGGGGTCTTTATTTTTGGCAATTTTTTGAGCTTCTCGGACGTCTGCTTGGGATTTAATTTGTTAAACAAAAGTTGGATAGGAAAAAATGTATTTTTGATAATAATTACAGACAGCCAATAAAAGGTCAAACAGCAATGTCTGGCCCGGTCCGACTTGACCGACTTGTTATGGCCAAGTGCGCCGTCGCTGCAGCGACCGACAAACAGAAAAATTCATAAATAATATGTAGAAAATAGCCAGCCAGCCAGCACACACATGTGAGCATGAAAAATATTTGCTGCCTGACATTTCGAGGCGCATAAGCCGGCGAAAAGTTTCGCAATTGGCCAAAAGACGCAGCTGTGCTGGCCAAATCCAATGGGTCTTCCGGCTTCGGTTTTGACCTTAAACGGACGGGCTGCCAAGCCGCTGCCAGCTTGTAATTAACAAGAAGTCGAAGATGGCTAAGGCAGCGACAGTTGCGTAAGACTTCTGGCCGCGTTGATCGGTTCGCAATTCAAACAATGCCGACAAATTGAGAATGAAGCTGGCACCTCCTCCTCCGCCACAGCCGCATTTTTGGCCGTTTAATTAGTTTTCCAACATAAAAATGTGCGTCTTACTTGAAATAATTGCTACCTCTGACAACACTTAAAGGAAATATTTCAAATATTTAGCCGGCTGTTAAAAACCAAATAGATCAAAGAATTACCCCGTAAACTTAAATTTAAATTATGGGCCTTACAAATGGCTTGCAATTTAATTCCCAAAAACACTTTACGGGGTATTTATGATCTCCCATAAAAATGTTCACCTGTTTTCCACAAATCTTTTGCCGATCCACTGTACGAAAGACTTAAGACACGAACTGCTTTTAGTCCATTGCAAAACATTTTCAAAGGAAACTTCGTACCCACGTTGTTTTTGTCGGTGATTTAATTTAATTACAGCTTACTTAAGAGCAGTCTTACACGCACTATTCGATCAGATATTCCAACTTTTGTTGTTTTGCTCTTACAATGACTTGATCGTGGTCCAACAAATTATTTCTTTAAAAAAGTCTGCAGCCTTTGAATAAACTTCATTAGTGAGTTTGGATTTTAAAGGTTCTTCACGAACTGCGATCAAAACGATTCCCACAATTCGCTGCCATACTTGAAAACGATGCATCCCATAGCCAATGTTATTCATCATCACAGTCTATGTGGGAAACGAAACCCAAAACCGAATTTGATTTAATGTGTACATGTCAGAAGTTGAAGGTCGCCCCAAATGCCCATAGACGACCTGGACTTGGACTTGAGCATCCACTTGAGTGCGGTGTCCATTATGTGAGCCACCCACTGCCAGTGGCGAAAATGTATCCAATTTTGACCCAATCAATGTTGACATTGACTCGTAATCTCACACAGCGAAGCATTTACATGCGAATATTAATTTCACGGCCAATTACTCTCGGTATCCGAGTCTTTTCCAAATGCTTTGTTTGCCTTGCCAATAGTTCCAAAAATTGATGACATCCATTTTGGAGATGGCTAATTGTTTAGGCCAATTACATTCGCCTTCCCTTCTGGAACTTTATCAAAACGAAACGAGCTCAAGGGAACCAGACAAGTCAAACAAATTGTAATAATAACTCTGGCTTTTTGTCTTACATTTTTTTTTGTGCCTTTAACGTCTACGGTCATTTGTTTATGCACTTGAATAAATATTGGGGGAGGGGTGGTTTGGTAAGCAGGCTTGATTAATGCTAATTGCGGCCAACGTCAGTCAAATCCAAAAAAAAGACGATGCGTGCGGCCGCTGATGAATTGGATGCAGGTGATGTGTGCTTTCGAAGCCTGAGTCTCGACTGCTAATTACCCGCTGCTCTGAAAAGTTTGGCCCTGAAAACAAATCCACGAAAGTCATGACATGCATTTCAGCCACCTTTCATGTCGGAAGAGTGGCTTATGTAACCGCAATTATGCAGCACTCGTGATATGCATCTCTCTATTAATGAGTTTTCAAAAACCTTTCGGATAAGGTGCGCAGTCAGGTAAAAGTAACAAATTGGAATAATTTGAGAGGCATTTATAGATCTCACTAACTGTTTTTATTCCAAAAATTACTTGAAATTAAGTATTTTGTTTATAATATTGGTAGAATTTTCATTGCGTAAAATATCCTCTATCACTTCAAAAAGTAAAAGCATCTTAAGCTAGCTCAACCAAATTTGTTTGAATGGATTGGTTAAGTGAAGTCTGCGAATCTCTTTCATTTTTTTAAAAACTTTAAGTCAATTATATTTTAGATAGGTTTGTTTTTAAATATATAAGAACATTTGTTCAAAAATCTAATTACCAAGGAAAACTGAGTTCGTGCCTTAAGTCTTTTATTTATCAAAAATCAGAATATGCTAAACTATAAATTATTATTTAATGTAATATTACTCTATAAATTTATATAGATTGTGATGAACTTTTTAACAGCACTTCAAATAAATTTAGATTTCTAAAAGCACCTTTAAGCCATATTTTTAGTACCGATGTAAAATGGTTTCTCAATTTTGTAATAATAATAATAAATAGACATTTTCTTGGATTCTAACCCCTATTGAACTCTATCAGTCACACCCTAGCAGCTAATGCGGTTTGCCCTTTTTTCGAGCCGCTTGACATTTGACAGCATTGGAAATATCAATATGTGCATTGCCATTCGAACAAACAGAAATCTTTAAACGGCCGTGCAACAACAATGGAAACAACAAGCAGAATTATTAGGTAGCACAGGCGACATTTGGACACGGCTCTCAGCATTTTGGCCAACTCTATTAGACGGCAATCGCGGCGTCATCATTAAGCAACATTCATGTCCAAAGTGCCAAACGAGTTTTTATTCGTCTCGCGAGAGCTTCTTCGCATTGGCAGCCAAAGTCTTCTCACCTTCCCAACTAATTGCCAGCCTTGATATTTACAAAGAGTTCACCGTATGCTTATGCAGGCGATAGTTGCTCTTCTTGGCTGGAAATTCTATATCTAAATACATGGCTGACCGCTGATTTGATTTGCATTTGCCGCAGCAGCATCATCATCGTCATCGTCAAGTGTTAAAATTGCACAATTTATGGGCCAAAGTCGGCAATGTTGAATTGACATTCAGGCTGGAGAAGTGCAATATATGCACCGGCGACATTTACAAATGTTATACAATTTGATGGCTTTATTTGATTCGACTTTTGGCCGATTAAAGCCGAAACTTTCAAGCCACTTGATCCGGCTCTGGTCATTGTGCAATGAGTTTTGACTTGGGCGAAATTAATGCAAAATAGTTTTGCAAATTGCTATGGCAACCCCACCCTGCAAATATAAATATATATGGTATATTGGCTGAGACGGACGACACAACCCCCAACTGACGAGTTTGTTGCCCAAGTCTTTCGGGTTTTGATTTTGCTTACTCGATAGCCGCAAGGCCCACTTGTCCAAGAGGAAAACTAAACCGAAACTAAATCGAGTCGACATAACAACGAGTGTGTTACCAATATTCATAAGTGCCAGGCGGCAGGCCGACAACTTTGGTTA